TGTTCTAATGGTGTTTGTAAATAGGATCACAAGTCCGCATCTTGTACAGCAATTAACCACTAAGAAGAATATATGCAGTGTATTATTTGTTGAAACTATACTTCCGATTTGATTTGAAACTGTCTCATTACTGTTTATCAATAAAACTTTGAAAAAAAATAAAATAAAGACAAGATCCAACTAAAAAAAAAAAAAATTCATTTATAAAAAAGGGAAGCACACATTCTCTGCAATGTACCAGAAGCCCATTTTAGATTTCCTGGGCTAAAAGGTCTTTCTGTTGCAACGATTCAACTTTCCCTTTATAATTTGAAATCAGAAACAGACAATGTATAAATGAGTAAGGCAGTTTTTCTTAAGGAAAATGGTAGGCCAGATTTGTTCAAGGTACTGGTTTGCTAACCCCAGGGATATATGCTGCCCAAGAAGTGCATAAGCCTTTCCATCAATGCCTAATATGGAAAACTTGGCTACGAACGATTCTGAATGCCAAGCTACCTGCAGATTTGAGGAGAGACGTACCTGTTAATGATGGGCAAAAAAGAGAGGAGACTGCAACAGCCTCATCTTGCTAACCTAAAAGAAGGCTTCCTTCTCACACCTTGGAAGTTGCTTCTCCACTGCCACCTTCTGGTCCGTCAGTAACTACAGTCTAGAAAAGTCCGGCAGAGGTTTTCACGAATTGTGCTCAGCAGCACAGCCTATCTAGCAAACACAAGGTCCTGAGTTCTATTCAAGGTCCAAAAATAATCTGAAACAAACTAATTTCTGAAGCCATTCTTGATTTACAAAACACTGTAGTAGGACACTGCATTTATTTTAGCTTCTGCAGTCTTCAGTAAGTTAGTAGCAACGTACCCTTGGACAAGTTATGTAGTCTCTGTACCTCTCTTTAAAATGAGATGCTACTGTGAAAATGATATACATTAGCACAACCACTTCAACACTGGCTTATATACAATACGTGCTAAATAAACGTGGTTTAAAAATGATCACGAAAACCTGTTCATGTACACCTTTCAGCCCTTTTAGCTCACACACACATCTTCCCTTTTGGCACACTACAAACCACTGGTGCTATACGTAGCCTTGCGCTGAATTATTTTAAATGTTTCGTGGAAACTAGCATTTCATTGGACGAAATTAATGTCTGCATTTATAAGCTATCACAGAAGTGCCGCTTCTGCAGCCTTATGAAGGAAACAAGGCAAGGACTAGTAGCGTCCAACTTCCTAGAGCAAAGAAGCTCTGTGCCCTCCAGAATTATAGGCGAGGTCTCTAGACCTCCCACTTAGGACGTTTTATTAGATGAAAAGGTCTCTCAATAAGTTTCTGAGCTTTACGATCAGCCGAGGTTTAGTGGCTAGTATTGGGTCTTAAGAATTCCGAGCCCAGGCGTTCGTTCCCAGACACCGTACTAGCTTCCGAGCACCCATTCTCCACTCAATCATCATTTGTTCATTCAACCATTCCCTTTGCCATCTTCCTGCGGCACCTCCTCTGTGCCACGAACGACGCTGGGGTCCGGATTGGCAGCTATGGGGTGCAAGCTTGGCCTGGCGGGTGGCCGGCAGCGTGCAGGTTACCGGGGGCAGCGACAAGCAGAAATCTGGGGGACGAGACCAGAAACGACTTCCCACACCAGCTTCCAGCCAGCCACCCCGTCAGGCTCCCTTGGCCTCGGGGGCCCGCCTGCTCACCGTGAGGTCCTGGGCCCCCTTGAGGGATAGTACCTGAGGTCTCCGAGTGGTACGAAAGTCCGGGTCAATGGCACGGCTCTGGGACCGGAAGTCCGGTGGCGCTCCTGATAATACGTCACGACACTCGCGCAGTCCCTCGGCCGCCGCTCTAGGAAGCGGGAATGGCATCTCTATGGTCCTCTGGACCAAATTCGGAGTTCTTAGAAGTATAATCTCCAGTCCCAGCCCTTTTCACTCAACTACTGTATAAAAGCCGAGCACAGTGGCACACTCCAGTAATCTCTGCTACTGAGGCAGGATGAGCATAAGATTCAGTCCAATTTGGGGAAATTATCGAGACCCTGTCTTAAAAATAGAATGCAGGTGGGCTGGATTCCTACGATTTTGCGGCTCGGGGGTTCCACTGGCTTAAAACACATTCCTCAGGAAAACTAGAGAGGAAACAGGGTCAGAAAGGATTAAGACGGAGTTGGAATAGGCCATGCAGCCTGAGCTACATTAAACAGTATATTCTACCCGCCTAAATAGCCCCAAAGGGCTGCCAGGTATAGCTCAATGGCGGAACGCTGGCCTCGCCTGCTCGAGGGCATGGGGTCATCCCCAGTGCTGCAGCGAAGAACTGTGAGTGATCCCATCGTGTTAGAATAAAGGACAAACTCTGAACCTGGACCCACACAAAATGACAGCAACAGCAACATCATTTTCTCAGCTACCATTTGTATTTTTCCTTAACATTACAGAATTCTTCACAGGTGCCCAGAAATCCCTAACTTCATTCCAACCCTGGATCCTTTATTCAGGATTTGCCTTCTGGAATAGTTCCCTTCATCTCTATCACTTTATCTCTGATTGAGACTAACCCTTCAAAGCCCAGGGCCAGTCCTCACGTGACCACCTTGTCCGTGTCATCCCTTCTATTATCAGTCCTTATGAGTCGGTCTGCCTCTAATTGGCCTCCTAAGTGCACACATGTATAACGACTTTGTGTAGATACACACATGAAATATGCTATCTAAGGGCAACTCTGAAGGACCTGATTCACCTCTGTTCAACTCAACCCATCTATATGAAGCTGTTTCTTATCCCAGTACCTGGCAGAGAAGTTATTCAGTAATTATTGCATTCATTCATCACATACAAAAGTAAAACTCAGCATGGCTATGTATATGTGTGTATGACTGAGGATTGAACCCAGGAATCCAGGCTTCAACCTGAGCTATATCCCAGCCCTTTGTCATTTTGAGACTAAATCACTAAATTGTCCAGGCTGGCCACCATCTGTGATCTTTCTGCCTCAGCTTCACAGAGCACTGGGATTACAGGTGTACTCCACCAATCCTGGCTCAGAACTTTTTCTTGCATGTTTTCTTTCATGGCTCATTCTGACATTACTAGAGATTCACTTCTAAATACAAAGAGATCATTAAAGTCATGAAAATGCTGAAGATACCATGGGGGAAGAGAGGCAAGGAGGGAGGATTTGGGGGCCGGGGGAGAAAGAGACAGAAGAGAGGGAGACAAGACAGGGAAAAGATATAGAGAAGATGGAAAATGGGGAAAGTGATCATTGAGAACAGTCATGGAAAGAGAACAGCTTGAATTAGGTGTTGAGCTGATGCACTTGGCCCAGCTCCAGAAAGGGGGACTTCAAAACCCCAAATCCATAACTTGGTTGATGGGTATTTGAGTTGTTTCCAAGATCTAGCTATTGCAAATGGTACTGATAGGAATGCAGTGGGAACCCCAAATCCAACGAGAGGTAGGAGGGTGAGTAGGGGAAAAGGGGGTAGGATTAGCAAAGGATTTTAACACTTTTCCCTCCTCTCCCAATTCTAGGAGAGCAGTTAACAATATCCATAAAGGGGCACAAAAGTACCAGTGGATTTTTGGATTCAAAAATGAAAGCTTGCGAACCAAAGATTTTGTATTCCAGCATTTGGGAGTCTCTAGGGAAATAGCTTGCTCCCCACTGATTTCTGCAGCAGAATGCCTTTTATGGGTAAACCTCACCTCCCCACTTGGGCCTTTCCCTTTCTCTTTTTTTCTTTGAGACAGGCAGGCTTTTTTGAGACAGACAGCCTATGTAGCCCAGGCTGATGCCAAACTCTTGGGAGCCAATAATGCCACTATGCCTGGGCTTTTATCTACAACTGGATTCTACAACCCCCCATACTGTACTTTGAAAAAGTCTCCAAAGAGATACAAGATCTCAGTTCTAAGCAAGATAACAGAGAAAAAAGCACCCAGGACCATGAGCGTAAAAGGGAGAAGATAATTCATATGATAGAAGAGATTTTTAAGAAAATCATTCAAATTATAGTACTCAGAGGCATAGGTCAGTGGTGGCACTTGCCTGGCACAGACAAGCCTCTTGGTTCGATCCCCAGCAGCACCACAAAAAAAACAGACAAACACCTTTGCGACCTTAAAGGTGTCTCGAGTGATTTATTTATTTTTTTTTTTGGTACCGGGGATTGAACTCATCACCCTGTGTTTGCCAGGCAAGTGCTTGTTCTACTGAGCTATCTCCCCAGCTAAAGGCATTTCAAAAACGAGAACAGTGTACTACTAAAAAGGAAAAAGGTCTTACAAAAATTAAACTAATTACCATCAACATTTAAAAATTTTTTTGGAAACAAAGCTTTTGTGAATGAGAAGGGGAGGAGGGGTTAGAGGGAGGGTAGGGGAATGAGGAGAAAAATGTATCATATATAGGTACAAGCTCTCTATGCTGAGTGTGAACATTTTATGTATGTTAAATCTCATTGAAAAAATAATTATTTTGGGAGGTTGAAAAATAATGTACTCCCCTAGAAGGTGGCACAAGACAAAAATGTTCAACAATATCTATGGAAAGAGATAACTGTCAGATAAGTAACAAGAAAACTTTGAAGAGTACAAGTTGCTATCTGAAATATTTCACTAAATGCACTAGTGTATCAAAGGAAAAAAGGATATTTTAAGTTTCAGACACAGCGGTGGGGAACTGTAATATGTATCATAAGAATACTATTTATTGATTCTCAAAGGAAGTCAGCCAGGGCCCAGGCCCCTCACGCGTAACGGCACATGCTGGTGTGTCAGTAAACTGATGACCCCAACTGTCTGGAGAAAGTTTTCAACATAGAAATCCAGGTTCAAACTGCAACCAAGTGTGAGGCCAGGGAAAGACATTTTAGAGAGGTAATAATTTCTATTTTTAATATTGGTGTCAATCACTCGGTCAATAGCTCTGTCTTCTGTGTACCCCTCAGTAAGCCACTCAAAGATGTGCTGCAGTGGAATGGGGGCGCGAGCAAAGTAAGGAGGGGAGGAACTCGGGAAAATGGAGTCCAGTGCAAGTGGGCGGGGTGTGTCTGTAGATCAGAGCAAGAGAGCGTTTGGAATGGAAAGCATGGAGAATTTAAAAGCCATAGGAAGACCTGCGAAAACCAACTGGTACAAGGTGAAAGGAAAGGCAACCAGAAACTTCCATATGAAGAGAGAACTGTTCTGCAAGGCATATGTACACAGTAAACTGAAGTTTGCAGTGAATAATATATGTATGTCATAATAATGACCTCAATGCTATTGATTTTCAACTTTTAGACAAATCAATAAAACATAAATATGGTTACAGTACAGTATTTAAGAATTATCAAGCTGGGCATGGCGGCAAATGCCTGTAATCCCGGTACTTGGGAGGCTGAGGTAGGTGGATGGTTGTGAGTTCGAGTCCAGCCCAGGCTACAAAGTGAGCTCAAGGTCAGTCTACACTGCACAGTAAGATCCTGTCTCAAAAAAAGACCAAAAAAAAAAAAAAAATTACCGGACATTGTCAGGCAAGAGGTGCAAAAGTGGAGGATATGGCCAAGATTTTCCTTTCTTTTTGTCAGACAGACATTTATTGAATATCAGAATCTGAGGAGTGCCTAGACCGGCCCAGATACCCCTCTGTGAAGAATCCATGCTGTGAGCTCCTCCTTCCGGAGGGCTTTCCGGGAGGGTGGGTGCGGCTCTGAGGACAGCTGCTATATACAAAGGATCTGCTGGGACACACAAAACAGTCCAGAGTGGGGTGGTGCATCTCACAGGGGCATTTATTCATGTCGCAGAGTGAACACTGCTGATGGAGGTGTACAGCGACATGCTGTGCTCCCATCTAACACAGCTTGCTTAAGTTTATAGGCAGACTGAGGCTTCATCTCGTGGGTACTCGAGAGCTGGTTAATGGTGACCGTGAGCAGGCGCAGGACTTGAACCTT